CCCTATCTGACATCAGAAGCATAAACTGAATCATGCTAGCTTTATTTAAAATAAATATACAATCTCCATCAAAGTACTAATATCTCACATTAAAGAAAAAAGGTCAGTAAACCCCAAATCTCTGGAAAGGAATGAAAAAAACCAAATCTCTTTGGCTGTTAATCAAGCTATTTAAAAGTTTGACAGTGTTACAACATTAATGAGATATGGACTGAAATGAAAGCGAGCCAAGCTGCATGGAGCCCATACTGCCTCCTTCCCTTAGGAGATTATTTAGGTAAACAACTGGGAGAGTGAGGGGGAGGAAGCAATGTTGGCAGAGCGCTGAAAATTTACTACAGCTCTGAAGCAGCAACCACACATATATTATTTACTGTCCTCCACAGATTCCAGACTGTCATATGGGTCCTGATCTGGCATTCCTCGCACAGCCAAAACTCCCACCAAAGCCACTGGGTGTACAGGGCACACAGCAATACAAAGACAAACTATGAATATACTGCTGCAGTTGCATACAAATTTCCTGGTCCAAGTGACTGTCTATAAAATATTTTAGTTTCCAGAGCCTAGGAAAGAATGAGCTGAAATGATGAAAAGAACAGGACTAGTGTTAATTTGTGGTTTTCTATACCAATAGATAATCTCTCAAATGAACTATTTGTTCTGATTTTGCCTCAGGAATAAACAAATTATGACATATTCTGCAAAACTCAAGAAATTGTGTCTTTCTACAGAAAACTGGAGTTTTAGCAAAGCAACTGGCAAAGGCTCACTGATTAATCTCCATCTTAAATGTGTAATGCGTGGGACTACTACCTACAGGTGACTTCTCAGAACTCTGGTACTAAACCCAATTGATTTATAGGTTTCCCCTTCACTATTTTAAGCCCAAGGTGCAAGTAAAGACAGTAAGCACATTTAAGTAGTATTTTTTACCAGTGCTGATGTAAGTTTTTCCACTGAGAAAATTAGTACCTTAGAATGCCCACAAGAAAACATATAGGAGAATTCGAGTGAGAGAGGTGACTTGGAAGAAGTTGATAGTCTGCATGAATCAATTTTTTTTTAATGCTTAATTTATGCTGCTGCTGGTTTTCTGCTGCCGGGGGGGTGTGCGTGCTTGCAAAGGACAATGGTATATTGTTTTCATATAAGGACAGCTGTCTTTTCAATATGTATGGCTGGCCTTGCCACGTCCTCTTGCTCTCACCTCTGCGGTCCTTTTGATGTTAGGCAGCACATGGTCCCACATTAGAAACTTTACTTAAGTTTAGAGTCTCTAGGTAGGGCAATAGTAACCACAGGTAGGACATGTTTCTGAATGCAAGTAATTTGTTAGGGGATTTACAGCTCAGCATAACATGAAACCCAAAAGCCCACATATTCAACTGGTAGTCCCCAGTTTTAAAAAAGACTGGAAGTACAGTCCAAGCTCGGCATCCCAAGAAAATCTTGGCATCTCCATTAGCATGGAAAAAAAAAAAGAAAAAGGAAGAGAAATAATAAAAGGAAATTTAATTTCTGAACAGGCAAAGAAAGGTTTTGCCAAGTGCTGCTTTTGAAAGTGCTATTATCATCTCATATTGCCAATGCAGCTGCAAATCAAAGCTCAACGAGATCGTTTTTCAAGAAGGTCAGCTCAGCATTTGCTGTAATTTCCAACAGTTATTCATGGTAAATAATGGACTTTCTATGCTCATTCTTACAAGCAGCAGCTGGAGTTTGTTTTGTAAAAAAGAAGAGGCAGATAAAAGCGCATAATAATTTCACTACAATGCAAGTAATTTTAAGTGATGTGACGGGGAAATTCTGAACAATTATATATATATATATACACACACGTATAAAAAGGATGTTGCACTTTACAACAAACCTCTGTATGTTACTCTGCATCGCAGTGTAAGAACCGTATGCCAAAACTGCAAGTTCCTACTAGGTTAGACAGGCAACGAAGACAACAGTTTTAATTGAGCAAAACCTTTGTAAAAGCGGACACGCAAAGTTAATCCACCCCACAGAAGGACAAGCGAGCGCAGGAGGGAGCAGTCTCTTCGAGGAGCTGCTGCACATCTCCGCAACCATGGCTTGTATGTTCTTTCTTCCCTTCATAGTGAGCCTGTGTCTAACACCAACCCAAACTGTTCTGAAAAAACACAAAGGACTTGGGAATCACGAGGTGTACAGATGCATCCACGCATATGCAGAATTTCCAATCTCTGCTCCATTAGGAGAGCTGGCCGGTGGAGCTGGGCACAGCTTCTGTGTTTCTCCAAGACTGGGCTCCTAGCAGCGGATGACTACACTCATGAAAATACAGTTCATTTGTGTTTTAACTAGAATCATAGAATGGTTAGGGTTGGCAGGGACCTCAAAGATCATCTAGTTCCAACCCCCCTGCTGCGGGCAGAGACACCCCCAACTAGACCACGTTGCCCAAAGCCGCATCCAACCTGGTCTTAAACACTTCCAGGGAGGGGTCATCAACAGCTGCTCTGGGCAACCTGTTCCAGTGCCTCACCACTCTAACAGTAAAGAATTTCTTTCTAACATCTAATCTAAATCGACCCTCCTTCAGCTTAAACCCCTTGCCCTTTGTCCTGTCACTACACTCCCTGATAAACAGTCCCTCACCATCTTTCCTGTAGGCCCCTTCAGGTACTGGAAGGCCGCAATTAGATCTCCCCGGAGCCTTCTCTTCTCCAGGCTGAACAACTCCAACTTTCTCAGCCTGTCCTCATAGGGGAAGTGCTCCAGCCCTCTGATCAGCTTCGTGGCCCTCCTCTGGACTCTCTCCAACAGCTCCATGTCTGTCCTGTCCTGGGGCCCCCAGAGCTGGACGCAGTACTCCAGGTGGGGTCTCACAAGAGTGGAGTAGAACTACAGGGAATGCACCATGGTGCTAACATAACATTTGTGCTATGAAGACATTTGGAAGATTCAGACTAAACCAGAAACCTGGAATAAATTTAAAACTCCAAGAGTGCTTCTGAGTATCATCGGGTTTGGTACATCTATGTGCGTGGTGGGTAGCAGAGAGCAGCTCAGTCTCTAAAAGTCATCTTATGTACTGGCACTTCAGCTGTGCCTCTGAACCTCATTTATTGATGAATATTACATCTTATTGTCCAAAAATTGCCAGGGGATGATCAACTTGCAAGCTCAAGTGCCTACCTTCATAAAGCTGTGCATACTGTGGGAACCCGGCAGCCCGCAGCCAGTCACAAGCTTCCTTGGCCTCGATTTCTGGAAGAGGACAGAAACAAGACACCCTCTGATTAGTGATCTGCAAAGCAAAAACTTCCTCTCCACCACTTCTACTACTCCCGTTACAAAATAAGCATGAAGGTATTCAGCAACTTTGAACTGAGACACAGGTTTGCTTATACCAGTTTGCTTTTCTTCTCAAGATCAAACATATCTTAAATTCTGGAAAGTCACTGGCGTTCACCCGTGATTTATCAACAGTTCACCACTTTAATAGTTAGAGAAGCAGGCATACATGAAAACTGCAGAAGTTATGGATTATTCTGTACAGGTTTTGTTAACACTAGAGACACCAGTGCCGCAATCGACATGAGCAGCATTTGTTCAACAAATCTTACGATCCTCTTGGCACAATTATTTTGTCTTGACAGAAATTCCTAGTAGAGCTCGTAATACTGTGCACTTTAACATCTTGTAGATAGTACTGACAGACCCAAGCTCAAGAACAACCGACACACTGTGCTGCAGCTCACTCAAGCACATATTTACTCCTCAAAAAGAACCTAGTTTCACTGGAGGTCTTCAAGGCATTTATGAGTTATTTGGTATATTACAGGAAATTCAGCTAACTTTCCCTCGCACTGCCCAAACCAGCATGCCGCAAAATGAAATTATTCACATACATATATATGACACTGAAAGAAAGGAAACATTCTAAACATGGGTTATATTAGTCTGTGAATAAATTATACATAAATTCATTTGTTACCTAATACGAGTAGAAATAAAGATATGTTATCTTATCAGATCGAACTAGGAAAATATAACAGGTATTTAGAGTATTCTCCAAGTGTTCAGGAAACGGATTGGGTTAATTTTTTTCTTCTAAAAATTCAAGAAAGTACTACTGGGAATTTAGCTCCCTGCTTAGAACTGATCAAACAGACAATAAGCAATCAGAAACTCTTAAAAGTTCATCTGGCTTTGATTATATTCACTGTTCTTGATGGACCAAAAAAGAAAAGCTTCATTATGTACAACTGAGTAGACAATTTTGCCACGTACTTGGAGAAGATACTATAGCTACCTGCTGCAGAACCCACGCACAAAAGGTTTTGCTCAGAATTGCTCAGAATACAAGTTACTGCATATAGGACAGTGAAAAGCCAAACATAACAAGTAAAATAACTCAAGATTTTGGCATGTTATGAAATATTCCCAGTGAGATACAGGTACACAGTTAAAAATGGATGAAATGGCAGGCACCTTTTAGCATCTCCAAAATGACAGCAATCGCCCTCTAATTTTCCAAATTGCTACAACGGGGTTAAAATATTTGTGCTTTGCCAGACTACTTTGCTAAGATACATACCCAAACCAAGGGGTTAAGGTTAGCCAAAGCACAACATTCCAGATAAATAAACAGCTAAAAATCCACTCTCGCTGAAGTCAGGACAAGCAGGCATTTGTGTAACTTGTGTTTGCTTCACCTTTGGGTTATGAGATCACATGAGAACAAGCACGTACAGATATATTGACTTAGCTACTCATTAAGAAAAAGCATTCTTCAATTGCAATAGCAAGTGATTGTAAAGTTTGGCTTAAAGTAGCATTTTAATTTCAGTATCCTCAGGAAATACATGGAAAACTAATAAAGAAGGAAAAAAAGGAGAATTTAAAATATATTTAAAGCTTGTACCACTAAAGCAAGAATAAACAACAGAATATCACTATCTCAGAAACAATGAAAATACTACAGTAAAAAAATCTGCAATTAATTTTTTAAAGTACTTAAAATGCACTTAAAGGTCACATCCTGCAGAAGTGTCTGGATTGAATGAGAATTTACTTGATTTAAAACTGAAAAAAAACCCCCATCCCAAATAACAGGTATTTACCTAAAAATGCAGGTAGATGCTTGTAGTGCAATTGAAAAAAGTGTCAGATTCCTTACTACTACAGTGGCTCTTAAATATGTTTAAATATTTGTTCACAGGTCCTTTACTGCGTACCCCAGGTGTAAGACCTGTAAAATATTTCTAGAGCTAGAATATTATGAATATGCATTTATTAAACTTTTTTTTAAGGTTCTCTATAGAAGCTTTGTGTATCTTTTCTGCAAATATATATGCAAGCTATGTGGAAGTTCTATTTTATGGGCACCCAGGTGTCAGGTGCCTTTGGGATTTTCAGAGCATATTTGCTTTCAAAATACCTTTGAGAATCCCCCAAGAAGTCTACCTAGGCAATGAAACACTTGAGTTATTCCTGGTTGGCCAGAAGAATTGCAGAGAATAATAAAACATCTGCGCACCCGTTCATGGATTAGGCTAGGCAAATGCCTAGGGCTGGGTACAGGACAGCACCAAGGGTTTAAAAGCAATTATTTTTCCCATTTCCATCTCAAACATTTTGAGAAAGCCAGGGCGCTCTCTGTGTCACCTCCATCCACTCAAATTGTGTGTCAGAGAGGGATATGGCAGGGTTATGGGCAAGAGTGGAGGCAGGACCTCAAAAAGCAGCTCCTTTTGCTCAACTCCAGTTGGCCAAACCCAGGATTGCTCCTGACTGTACCGATGTGACCAGATGAACGGAAAGGTCTTTGCCAGCCCTGCTTCCCCATCTCAACCCTGCTGGTTACTGCGGAGCCAGAGTACAAACAAAACGGTGTGTGTATGTATGCATGTATGTGAAATTCAGGAAGATCAAAATATAGACGGAGGGAGAATCCAGCCCAGGGTGCGCTAAATAGGCTGCACAGAAAGCTGAGCAGACTGAACAAGCTTCCTCACATAAGAGATACAAACTTTAACAGCTGAGAGCTTATATAGGTAAAAAGTTCATTACCACAACTTAATTGGAATCTGCCTTTGAGAATAAAATACAGTAGTTAAACCTGAGGTTCTGGCCAAATCATTTAAACTATGCTAGAGGAGAAAGCTCGTTCCCACACTTTCCAAATACCAGCTTTTCTTCCAGCTCAGCAGTATCAGCCCTGTGACTCTTGGTTTGCCAGCTGCCACGGTTTCATATCCAGGTGGACATCAAAGTTTGTGTGAGTCCTTGTCATCTGGATCAATGGCAACTGGGATAATAAGGGACAAAATAGAGAACAGAGCTTCCAAAATGAGATTTTTCCACTACTTCTAAAAAGTTTTAGAAGGGACAGGGCACCCAGAAGCCTTCGTTCAGTCTCCCAGGGGACCCAGGTTACAGATAATTACCTGAGCTATGAACTCACTGCTGAGCACAGCGTCTGCTTGGTTGGGGCCAAGGAGGAGAGGGAGGAGGCAGAGGAACTCTACACTCCTTTCCAATCCATTCTAGGGAAGTCCTACTTCAGCCCCAATTAATCTGCCTTGATATGCAAAGCAATTTCCCACCGTGAGCATCCTTCCGATGAAGACCTGGCAGCTGAGCTGATACAAGCTGCTGCAGGCAAGGGACTGGTCTCACTCCCTCCTCCCCGCTCCATCCCTGCAGTGCCACTTCCTTTCTGAATCAAACATCCTTGTCAGTTAAAACCTTTACAATAAACTACAATTCAGTATACATTCCAGGCAAGAAATGTATGTGCAGCTTTTCAGATGTGCGTCCTGTGCCCTCCCCGCAGCAGCAGGAGGTTCTTGTACGAAAGAACCGCTGGCAAGAAAGAAATCACACTATTATTTCTAAACGTCCTGATACACAAGAAAATCTCTTAGAAAGTAAAACAAAACAAAACAAAAAAACAAAACAAAAAAACTCCATAAAGGAGTACAATGAAGTCTTTATTCTCGGTGTCGTGTAAGCAAACAGCAGGCAAATGTGTTAAAGAGGAAACAGGAAATTTTTATTGGAAACAGCTTTATTTGTTAGTCTGTTTCACAAAGCAGGCCTCCATGCTCCAATCAAGGGTAGGAGTTCCTTTTGTGTATGGTTGGGAACCATTAGTCCTTATTTACCCACTTCCTGGGGGGTTAGGAGGACCCAATTCTTCCCCAAACTGGTGAGTGAAAATGGAAACTTCTAACTTCCTTTTTGTTTAACTTTGGTTAATCTTGGTTCCTGGCCCTGCAAGTTTGCAAGTTTAAAACTTCATAGCAAAAATATCTCAATTCACACCTTGTTTGATACTGCAGTTGCAGAATGGAGAACTCTAAGATGTCTATAGTCTTTTGTTGGACACCTTCCTTCCTATAGAAAATAAAAACCACACAGTGTGAAGCTGTAATGATGTCCTTTCAGAAAAAAATAATCATAGCAGTCTAGCCAGGAGCAGCAAGATCACTCACTTTCATTCTCCTTTTCTTTTTGCTTCCATGAAATAACACGCAACTTAAGCACCAGTTCTTTCAGGGTCTTCAGGACAAGGTGCAAAGCAGATGTATCTTTGTACAGTCATGCATTTACTCCATTTTCACCTAAGTGCTAAACGTCATATGAACAGTTCTTCCAAGCAGATGGTTTCCTCTTGCCTCAACTCAGACACCTTTATAGCCATATTAGCACCTCCACACATCACCTTCTACTCATCTCACCTTTTGGCTCTGTTAAGAGAGCAGACCGTAAAAATCTGTAGCAAAGACTAGTCAAACCAACGCTGTTAAAATCAAATTTCAGCAAACATGGTCTTCATTGCTGAAGGTTCATGCCAATGCCATACCTAACAACTGGTTTGTTTGACGTTCTTTTCTGGTCTTGAGTTTTGACCAGGTCACTCTAGTTGAAATTCACTATTTGACTTTTTTCAGAAAATAAGAAGTTCAAAAATTAAATACAAAATTATCTTTCTGAATTAGCTTGCAGGACAGTCTCTCCCATGCAATGCAGAGAACGTGATTTCTCACCATGAATGCTAGAGATGAACCTGGTTGCCCCTTACTGTAATGCATAAAACTCCATAAACTACCTGCACATTTTCTAAGGCACAGATGGAGCACAAAGAGGATTCTGTCCCATCCAGGACTGATGCTCCAGTTTAATGGCTGCAGAAGGGCTCGCACGCTCGGAAGCTCATCCTCTTTTTCTGTCTGTATCAGAAATTACCCGTCC